AGGTGCCCTGGTGGTACAGTGGTTAAGTGCTGGGTGCTAACCAAAAGGTTGGTGACTGGAACCCACCAGGATCACCTCGGGAAAAAGATGCAGCAGTCTGCTTCTGGAAGGATTTACAGCCTTGGAAACACTATGGGGCAGTTCTACTCTGTCCTATAGGGTTGCCATGAGTCGGCATCAACTCCACGGCAGTGGGTTTGGGTTTTTGGAAGCAACTCCCTCATCTGGGGATCAGTGGTCTGACCCTTCTCCCACACCATCAAGATCTGATGTTCCAAGGGGGCAGGGCCAAGATGGCAGAGTAATCAGATGCTTGCGGTGGTCCCTCTTAGAACAAAGACCTGAAAAAACAAGTGAATCGATTATATATGACAATCTAGGAGCCCTGAACATCAAAAGCAAAGTTGAGGAATCGGACTGAGTGGCAGGGGCAAGTAGAGACAGTTTGGAAGCAGCGAGGAGTTGCCAGACCTGACCTGGTGAGAGCCTGAGTCCTTCAACCAGGATCAGCTCGTGGTGCACAGTGAGGCAGGCAAACAGCAGCGCTCAGGAGGTGTTTTCCACATCAGGAGAGACAGAGCAGCATACAGTCTACTTGGCCATCCAGAACCAGTAAGAAGCAGCCCTCGATTGGTGAAAGATAAGTACTCATGTCTGGCCTACCACATGGATCTAAAACACCCCCTTAGGGAAAAACCTCTCCCCCATTTACCTCCCTGCTCTCTGCTCTGCACTGGGTCCAGGGCGGCTTCAGCGATTGCTAAGTCCCCTGGGCCTGAAGTAGGACCCGTCACACTCCAGAGCCATTCTCCTGGCCTTGGAGAGGAAAAAAATTAACAAAATGGGGAAAAAATATTCTACCGGCTCCCCTAAGCCAAGAACTCAGGGTAGGCACAGCTCCTTTGCCTAGGCACAGGTACAAGGGGTCCATGGACTTTGAGTGCATTTCCCCCTGCATAGACTTGTGTGGGCCCATTTCAACAGCACAGGACCTCATTACCACAGTACAACAGGGTATATACCTGAAGTCAAACTTCAACTGTTTCAGCTGTAAAGTGGCAGGTTTGTGACATTTGACACTGCTCTGCCCATTAAGTAGGGTCTTCACCTACCCACATCAGAGGCCTGAGGACGGGTGGCTCCACCCATGCCACCTAGCCAGCTGCGACAGGGGCCCAAGAATGAGAGATGCCCCCCAGTCCTTATAGCCAACAGCACTGGGTGCTCATAGTCCAGCTGAAAAATGCACCCACCTACACACTCTAGGGAACAGGGATACGCTTTCCTCCTGGACACTACGGGGCGGCTGTCGGCTCCCTGCTTTGCTCAGCGTGTGCCCCCCTGCTGCATCTGGATGCCTGCGCCAACACCAATCACCTATGCCTGTCTAGGACTGTAGGTGAGAGCCTGCACCACACAGTTGGTGGCCAACTACCTGGACACCTGAGCTGAATCCATATAGGAGGAGTGGGCGGACTCCTGGGCTCACAGATTTAGTGGCAGATCTGGCCACATGGTGGGAGGACGTTGGAGCTTCAGGGGCACCGGTGATCGGGCTAGCTCACAAGAACAGCCTACTTGGGCAAATCAAAACAAAACAAAACAAGAAGCTAGGACACAGTAACCAAACATAAAATAAATAAATATAATAACTTATTGATGGCTCAGAAACAACAGTCAATATCAAATCACATAAAGAGGCAGTCCAGGATGGCTTCAACAAGCTCCAAAAATAAACAACCTAGAAATTTTCCAGAGAAAGAGAATTTTTTGGAATTACTAAAGGCAGAATACAAAAGATTAATATACAGAACTCTTCAAGAGATCAGGAAGGAAATTATGCAAAACATAGATCAAACAATAGAGGAACTTAGGAAGATTAGAGAAGAGCATAACGACAAATTTAACAGGCTGCAATAATCCATTAAGAGACAGCAATCAGAAATCCAGAAGATTAACAATAAAATTTCAAAATTAGACAACTCAATAGAAAGTCACAGAAGCAGAATTGAGGCAATGGAAGTCAGACTTAGTGAGACTGAAGATAAAGCACTTGACAGCAACTTATTAGAGGAAAAAAAAGATAAAAGGATTTTAAAAAACAAAGAAACTCTAGGAATTATGTGGGACTCTATCAAGAGGAATAACCTACTAGTGACTGGAGTACCATAACAGGTGGGGATAACAGAAAATACAAAGAGAATTGTTGAAGATTTGTTGGCAGAAAACTTCCTGGATATTGTGAAAATGAGAAGATATCTATCCAAGATGCTCACTGAACCCCACATAAGGTAGACAACAAAAGAAAGTCACCAAGACATATTATAATCAAGCTTGCCAAAACCAAAGATAAAGAGAGAATTTTAGCGTGGTGAGGGATAAACGAAAAGTCATCTACAAAGGAGAGTCAATAAGAATAAGCTTGGACTACTCAGCAGAAACCATGCAGG